TATGAAACTATGTTGTTGCGAAATGCGGCTGTACATGAAAACAGCTGTTCCGAATTAAGTGCAGGTTAACCCTATTCGGAACAAATTTAGTACTTGAATTGATTGTCCGCCATTTAAAAACAAAGTCTTCTTCAAATATTGATTTATGCCTAATTAATAGTTAAAGGATGACTTCTTAACTAGCATATATCAGATTTGTTTTAGAAGATTTTATGTAAAAGATACAGCAAGTTTTTTAAAAAGTGTTCCGAAATAGGTTCGCTTACCCTAACTGTCTTTTTTTTTCCCAGAGTGCTTTTCAATGAATCGCGAGGCATTGAGAGTAAATTTGAAAAGATTTGTGTTATATCGTAGTACTTTTATTTATTTCGAACTTGTAATGTAACTTAATCTAAATCATACTTTTAGTACATGTTATAAAGCCGTGTCCAAGAGATAATTAAGAAGAAGAAAAACGACGAGTATAAAATTACATTTCCAAAAACGAATTATTTTACGATATTTTAAAGGAGATTAGCCGAATATTCATATCTCTTTTATTATCTTGATCAGCAAATTATTCACTTTGTCATAAATTACGGTAATCGCGGTAGGTTGTTTATTTACGACGGTAAACTTGAAAAGTCAGAAATTGTGAATCTCTAGACGTGGCTCACGTTATTTAAATAAGCGTTAGCGTATTCCGTAACAAATCTGGGTTAAAATATCGGCGTTGCATAAAGTCGCGAATTCACGACCAATACCAACGAAACGAATATCCTTTGAGAGCATGCTTCTCGTCGGGCGCGCTCACCTGCGGGACGAACGTTACGTTGGGCTGATGCCCGAATTCGTTGGACAGATACCTGACATGCGTGTCGATACCGTTTTCGTTTTGAGATCGATAGCTGCCGTCCTTTCTTCCGTCGCGATATCCCTCCTCGTGGTGGCCGTGCGACGTTATCGTGTAGTTAAACTGATAATACAGGTCGTTCGCCATTTTCTCCAGAACTCGGTCGTTCACGGCGACTTTATCTTCCTCGGTCAACAGTTTCTTCGCAGCCCGCACCATGCTTTTCGTAACGTTTTCCTTCCTGATGATTTTATTCTTCTCCACTGAGATACTCTTAGCGGGCGCGTTGGCTGTAAATGAGCGTGAATTTATAGTTAACTCCCATTCACACACCGCGAGCATGTGCTTTTTCATCTTACCTGTCAACACCTTCATCATCTGCTTCAATATCGGATCCATCTTCTTCTGCGGCGGCGGCTCTGTAACTAACTTGATAGGCTTCGGCCTATCGTTCTCTTGCTTTATTGGTAATTTACAACCGCTGCAGGCCTTCATCACGGCTTCGATTAATTTCTTCGCTGCTTCCGGCCTATCTTTGAATATCTCTTGCGCGTCCTTCACTTGATAAGCCAAGACGAAACGTTCAGATGTTTAGGGTAAGCGGAACACGTAAAATTTAGATGTATCGTTTTAATAAACACGCGACTCACAACTCGTTATTTTCCGGTTCCTCTGCCTCGTGATAATAAAGTCCCCATTTTTGTCGGTTTTATAGCCAGTCTCGTGATAAACACCATCGGCCGTGATGAAACCGTATTCCCCGGTAATGAGCCCTTCGGCATCTTGACGAAGAGACAGACAAAACTGCTTGAGCGCATTACTTGACATTACTTCATCTACAATAATGAAATTCTCGTCCCACGCTTCCTTCGACCGACTGCTCTGTACCTTTCTTCTCGAATCTATGTTGAAAATCGACTATGTTGAAGGAAAACTCGTAAGGTCTGTTCTCGTCCGCGACGGCGCTATGTTGCGCGACCAGGTAGCACAGTAAGCACAGAAGATCGCACCATCTCCCCTGCAACTGAAAATCCCGGCTGCTTTATCGCGTGATAACAAGTATTTTCGTCGGCCTTGGATCCTCACCACGAAGGACGACATCCCGCGAAGATCCCTGCGGCTTCGAGTCCGCGCGACTGAATGATGGCACGAGCGAATCCTTCGAGCATGCAGCGGTGACGTAACAAGCGAGAAAAATGTCCTCGTCTTCACCAAGGATTATCTATAAAACGATCTAACGGAGAGAACACAACGAGGGAGAAGAGGAAAGCGTGAAGGGGACAGGGAGGAAAAATCGGGAGGCCTTTGACGTTTTTCTCGACGGACAGACGCTTTCACACATTTTGCATCCTCGGCTGGGAGGTAATTGCGAGGGAGTCATTAATGACCGTAGATCGAATGTATCGTGGCCGTAAATTGCATCTCGCGCAGATAAGATTTCACATTGCCGTCTATGACATAATATTGAATTTTCTCGATGATATCTTTACTAGAGTTACGAGTGACAGAATTATTCAGACAGCAGAGAATCCAGAAAGACTTCTTTTCGAATTCTTGAATTATGAAACGAATTCTTTTTCCGCCCTAAAATCTAAAAATCTTAAAAGTTTAACAGGAATTTGCTTTTACGTCATCGATTCTCTTTTTCTGACGTGAAAGCAATTCTTTGTATTTGCAACTTTAATTCCATAATTAGTCAAAGAATATACTTGTATGGAATTCTCTTTGAACTATCGGAAAGGAAAGAATTTAAGAAGGTGATTTTGGGTCATTCGAAGTCATTTTGAGCAACGATTGCCTGTGCCACTTTGGTAGGCAGGAAACGCGATAAATATTTATCTAAAGTATTTAGATCTTTCCTGCGCAAGTCGCCTTATGGGCATAGTACAACGTTTTTGTTATTGCGTTTAACGCGACTTTGTTTCCTCAGATATTCCACTGTTCTTTATCTTAAACGTTGAACTTAACATCACGACAGAACGATTAACATTAATATTTATTAACAGAAAAAGTTTAAACTTCCTTTAACGCAAGTCAACTTATTATTAAATTTTATTAACTGCTGTAAAATTAATTAAAATGTATTGTACAAAATTAATTGTTGTTGACGCAGATGATTTTAAGAGACAACATAATGCTTTTCTTTTTTGGGTGGACATTAATGAGCCCGGGATGAGAAGACATTTACGTCGATCACGATAAGCTTGTATTTATTAGATGACCTTTCGCTTTATTTTCTCACACTTAATGCTGTCAGATCGATAGTTGTTTCTTGTTAAGAAACGAACGTTCTTGGGAGTGCTGGACGATGCAGGATTATAATAAATTAATGCACTTTCAATGCGCATAGGTCAACTAATCGGACACTGAATAATGTCAGCAGAGTCGTGCAATTTTTTAACGCTATTGCGCGAAGCGTACGACATATTCCAGGAAAGTCTCATTACAGCTGATTTGCTTTGATTGAAATAAATTGTTAAGAAAATCGTGAAAGGTAGCCTTGATAAAATATCGCAGACTGCATTGTTGGAGAAAATCTCCTTCTAGTTTTTGAGCGCCCATAAATGGAACAGTAGGGTAAAATGAGGGTCAGGGCCGTTCGTAGGTGTTTCACATCGATTCGGAAATTGTGCCTCGAAAATCTCATCCGAATGTGACGTACTGGACGGGACAAGATTAGAAATCGCACGATCATCGAAAGTTAGCACCGTTATAAATCTTCTGGTCACGATGAGCTACAATCTTGGAGACGAAGCCTGGACGTCGCGCGGCTGAAGCTGCGCGACACCATTGGACGTGTAGAAAGTGCCAAATATCGCAATTAAGTCGACGCGACGTTGCGAGAGAAGAGATTCCGTTTTCGTGACACTCCGCAAATGCGCCCTAGACGGATATTAGGATCTTTATAGTCGTGAAACTCAAACTTCGCGCCCAGTAAAAGGTTTTTCCCGACTAGAACTGCAAAGATATTCGTCAATCGTTCGACTTTCCACTGCTATCTGGAACAGGCTGGAATTAGATACTTGTTCGTGGAATATCGAGTGCTGGAGAATCGGCGAAAGAGATCTAAATTCCTCCACGTAATGCGGAGTTTACGCGTTTCAGGCAGTTTGCGCTGGGCGAACGTTTAATTCTTCGTTGCTCGGGCACGCGCTGTGCATCGTGCATTTTGTAGTCCGGAAAGCGGCCTGGCCGATCTGATTTGTATTGCGGGATATCGATTTAGGAACGACGATCCTCGTGGCATATCAACAATGCCAGCCGCTCGCGGAAGGTGGGTTTCTGGCACGTATACGCATCGCGAATATCGACGTCTCGAAGATACAGTTCGTCGTTGCGACGCCACTTGCGCTACAATCAACTTATATATCCTTCTTGTTCGCGTATAAGAACTCCACTTGCGTTTCCGCCGCCGCAGGAGCTTTTTTTTTATCGCCGAGAAGCGCGGTGGAATTCTAATTTCGATTTCGATTCAACGTCGAATTTACCGAGAGAGAAATGAGGAAACCTGAATGGGTATGTCTGCACGCGAATGCGAGAATCTGGACCAAAATGCCGTTATGTGGAGGCCCGAAGTGGGTCAGCCGACATCTTGATATCGTCACTCTGCTTAATACGAGGCAAAACGCGGACAGGTAAGTACGCAACCGACGAGAGATCAATGGTGTGTTTTCTCGAATATTGCGAGACGTAATTTTTATAAATCACAAAAATAAGCATGAGCGAGTTAAGAGCCCTATTGTAAACCAAGTCCACTTCTTGGCTGTAAGCTAAATGTTGATAAATTAAGCTAAATAAATGTAAATCGCAAAAATGTGCACAGCGTGTGTAAAAAGTAATTTAATAATTTATACGTAAGGCATATAAATAATTTTAAAATTTAATAAACTGATTTTGCATTGAGCGTTACGAACTCTATATCACAGATGTCCCCTGTACTTTCAAATGTATCGCTTTGGAAAACCGAAGTCACAATTGTCGGTCCCGTATCACGAGGATATACTGTTCTTATTGTCACACTCGTACACGTACTTTATCTACCGAACCATTCGTCCTCCTCGTCGTTATTTGAATGACTGTGACGATAATGTGCAGGATGATACGGCTGACGGATTACCACTACATCCGAATTTTGTGAGCTTCTGATTAGGTTGTAGATCATTATTGCGATTGCTAATTGCGCCACCATGATACTCCTTAAAAGTGACATTTTAACGGCCGCTATGGCTCCAGGTAGAGAGAGTATCTGGAAAAGAGACAGGTCTTACCATTTTTGCCCCAGTGGGGAATACCGGCAAGAATAATAAATAGAAAACCTGCATGATAAGTGGTGTCATCATCAGCATGAATCCGAGTTTTTGTAAAGGGTTCTTCTTATCCTTTTTTTTCCGCGATTGCACTTCCGTTTCTAAAGACGAGAAATCTTAACATTCTTCAGAGACCAAGTGCGCGAGTAAATAAAGTACTGTCAATACCTTGCAGTAAGTCGTGGACTCTCACGTGAATATTGATTTCGTTGTCCGCCACGAAAAACTTGATTCCCGGGAGGATTTTCAAACTTTGGGTTTTATTCAGGCTGATTTGGGAATTGTTCAGTCTCTCCTCGGCTCGAGTTAACAATTTTGACGATGTTACTAGCCAGATAATAATGTTGCAAACCAACACTTTTGTCCCATTCATGTCCTCAAATTAAAAGTAAATTTCTATTATTGACTGAAATATATCGAGAGTTATTTATAAAGTTTCTTCCCAAGTAAAAAATATATCGCTAACAATTGTGCTGATTAAATTTCTACGGTGTCAAAATAAACTTTCTCAAAATAACAAATTCATATATTTTTAATGATTATCTACACACACAATTTTAATAATTTTATGTTTCAATAAATTCAATTTAATAAAGATTTAAAGCTATTAAATTACGTTATTTTACAACTTACTTTATATTTAATTATATGTTTTTGTGTTGTGTAAAAACATGTGATTATATAACGTTAGATCCACACTCATATAACTTTCACGATCATGCATCTATATTACACTATTTCTAGTTCATTACGGTGTGTCATCAGCGATATTACTCGCCATTTACTCACAGTTAATTAAACGAACATTTCACTGATGGGTAGACGATACCAATACGAAATTATCTTAGAGACTTTAATTCGTTCGATCTTCTCTCCGATATGCACTACAACGCGTCTTTCTCCTATTCGCTTGCCATGTAGACTGCACCGTGTTACGCGAAGCGCAGTAGAGATATTTTACTTTTTTGTTCGTTCAGATACCCCACGCCGAGTTACCTTAGGCCGGGAAAACTGGGTCTCGTTTACCGGAGAATGCTATTTACACCGGAACAGACGTAACATATGAATGTGCTCTTTCAATGATTCGCTACACTGGTCACACTCGATGAATATATTAATTTTAGCAATCTAGAAGTGGGTAAGAGATTTCTATAAAAATCGTATTTCCAATAATATTTGATTCTATTTTTCAGGACATGCCAAATCTCCTTATCGATTGAGAGAAAAAAAGAGAGAAAAACATAACAGAAAACATGTATGAGCGGTAATTATTTAGATTAACACACCCACCTCCAATAACCTTGGGCTTGACATATGTTGTCAAGGTTACCCTCCTGAGTAACGCTCAGAAGGATTTAGCC